GATTGAAAGAGTAGCCATCAATACTACAAGAAGCTGCTCACGTAATCTCAACGAAGTTGGTATGGCACGTTGTGATCAGAAACATCGCTGGCTTTCGCTCACCCACTGGCGCATGAGGGTGCATCGAATGCACCTGTTGTTCATTCTCAAATTAGCCTGAGTGGCGTGGATGCCCTTCGAGATTTTTTACGGCGATTGGCAGAAGGCAAGAAGGATGGCGCAATCCCTTTGATTCGTTGAAGGAAGAATGAACAGTGATTAAAAAAGCAGATCGTACTCTGCTCACGCGGCTACGATGTCCACCTCCAATCATTAGTGCATCCAATCGTACTGCTTGTCAAACGTTCTATTCGTCCAATCAGCTCAGGCGTAGTTACCGTGAAAAACGATGCCGTCAACTTGCAGTTCGGATAGAGCGAGCTCGACTACCCCGCACGATTTGAAGCGGGTATCTCTACATAACATGATACAGATTTTCGGTACGAGCGAATGGGTGGATGGATGACAAGTGTAGAAACATTGCAACAAACTCTCGAACACTGCCGCCAAGATGAATAGCATGGACACCGAAATGGAGAGAGACGTGGCGATCTGCTTGATTCGTGTGATCCGAAGATGTCAGATAGCTTTATTCTGAACCAGGCTGAGTATCACGGGACGGCGGGTGCATTACATTGAAAGGTGTTGATGAATGCTCATCCAAAGCAACATAGAAGACGGCTACGGTCAAGGCTGGTAAACAGGTACTTCAGGAATTAGCGCGAATCTCGATACTCCACAGATAGCGGTAAGTTGGAGTACACACCGTGGGGAGATAGCTGTACCAGCATAAGCGTACGCACTACTATGGAAGAGATCCACGCTGCTCGTGCAGCTTGAGAGCATTGATCAATGCCCACTGAAACCTTGTGATGAAGACAACGAATGCAATGAGAGAATCTTTGTCTTGTGGACATTGGTGAATGACACATGGTGTGTGACTTTGTTGAGGAAGCTTGAAGAGGACGAAGGAAGTCTTCACAGGAAGTGTAGGCGACTCGAGTAGGAGAGGGTAGAGTCAAAAGTGTTGATTCATCGGCGTTTATTCTACTTGCACCCTGATGTATGTGCTTTCCACATATAAATCATGTAGGTCTTTCAATCAAGCTGCTCGTATCATGAACTCGGATGTCATTACCGTAAAAACGATGCCGTAAATACTACGCTTCAAGTTTGGATTAAAATAGTAGCCATCAATACTACAAGAAGCTGCTCACGTAATCTCAACAAAGTTGGTGTGGCACGTTGTGATCAGAAACATCGCTGGCTTTTGCTCACCCACTGGCACATGAGGGTGCATCGAATGTACCAGTGCTTCATTCTCAAGGTAGCCTGAGTGGCGTGGACGCCTTTCAAGAAGTTTTACGGCGACTGGCAGGAAGCAGGAAGGATGGCGCAATCCCCTTGGGACGTTGAATGAATAATGAGAAAGATCGAAGATAAAAAGCAGATCCAACTCTGCCTACGCAGCTAAGATGTCCACCTCCGATCATTGGTGCATCCAATCGCACTGCTCGTCGAAATGTTTGATTTGTCCGATCATCTCAGGCGTAGTTACCTTGAAAAGGTTGTCGCCAACTTGCAATTCGGATTGAGCGATCTCGACTACCCGCACGGTTCGAACAAGGTAGCTCTATTTATCGTGCGACATATCTTCGGTACTACCATATGGATGGATGTCAAGTGTAGTAACACTGCAAAAAGGTCCTGGACACCACCGCCAAGATGAATAGCACAGACACCGAAATGGAGAAAGACGTGACGATCAGTTTGATCTGCGAGATTCGAAGATGTCAGATCACTTTATTCTGAACCTGGATGAGTACCACGAGACTGTGGACGCATTACATTGACAGGTGTTGATGAATGACCTTATGGAGCAACAGAGGAAGAAGGCAGAAATGGTGGATGCTGGTAAATAGATGCTTCAGTAATAAACGCAAATCTCGATAGTTTGTGTACAGGGGTAAATTGGGGGACACAACGGGGGGGGGAGGGGCCCCAAAAAAAACTTAAAAAAGCCCTCTTTTAGGAGATCCACGCAGCTTGTGCAGCTTGAGGGCATTGATCAATGTTCACTGAAAGATTATGATGAAAACAGCGAATACAATGAGAAACGCTTTGTCTTGTGGACATTGATGGGTGTCAAAGGGTAAGAGACTTTGTCGAGGAAGCTTGGAGAGCACGAAGGAAGTCTGCACAGGAAGTGGAAACGACATGAATAGGAGAAGGTAGATTCGAAGGTGTTGATTCATCGGAGTTTATTCTGCTTGCACCCTGATGTATAAGCTGTCCACAAATCGAATCATGTAGGTCTTTCAATCGAGCTGCTTGTCTGATGAAGTCTGATGTCATTATCGCAAAATCGATGCTGTAAATACTACGCTTGAAGTTCGGATTCAAAGAGTGACCATCCAGACCACACGAAGCCGCTCACGTAATCTCAACGAAGTTGGTGCGTCACGTTGTGACCAGAAACATCGCCGGCTTTCGCTCACCCACTGGCACATGAGGGTGCATCGAATGTACCAGTGCTTCATTCTCAAGGTGGCCTGAGTGGCGTGGACGCCTTTCAAGAAGTTTTACGGCGACTGGCAGGAAGCAGGAAGGATGGCGCAATCCCCTTGGGACGTTGAATGAATAATGAGAAAGATCGAAGATAAAAAGCAGATCCAACTCTGCCTACGCAGCTAAGATGTCCACCTCCGATCATTGGTGCATCCAATCGCACTGCTCGTCGAAATGTTTGATTTGTCCGATCATCTCAGGCGTAGTTACCTTGAAAAGGTTGTCGCCAACTTGCAATTCGGATTGAGCGATCTCGACTACCCGCACGGTTCGAACAAGGTAGCTCTATTTATCGTGCGACATATCTTCGGTACTACCATATGGATGGATGTCAAGTGTAGTAACACTGCAAAAAGGTCCTGGACACCACCGCCAAGATGAATAGCACAGACACCGAAATGGAGAAAGACGTGACGATCAGTTTGATCTGCGAGATTCGAAGATGTCAGATCACTTTATTCTGAACCTGGATGAGTATCACGAGACTGTAGACGCATTAAATTGAAAGGTGTTGATGAATAGCCTTATGGAGCAACAGAGGAAGAAGGCAGCAATGGTGGATGCTGGTAAATAGATACTTCAGTAATAAACGCGGATCTCGATACTCTGTGTACAGCGGTAAATTGGAGTACACATCGTGGGGAGATAGCTGTACCAGCATAAGCTTAAGTACGTCTATTGAGGAGATCCACGCAGCTTGTGCAGCTTGAGGGCATTGATCAATGTTCACTGAAAGATTATGATGAAAACAGCGAATACAATGAGAAACGCTTTGTCTTGTGGACATTGATGGGTGTCAAAGGGTAAGAGACTTTGTCGAGGAAGCTTGGAGAGCACGAAGGAAGTCTGCACAGGAAGTGGAAACGACATGAATAGGAGAAGGTAGATTCGAAGGTGTTGATTCATCGGAGTTTATTCTGCTTGCACCCTGATGTATAAGCTGTCCACAAATCGAATCATGTAGGTCTTTCAATCGAGCTGCTTGTCTGATGAAGTCTGATGTCATTATCGCAAAATCGATGCTGTAAATACTACGCTTGAAGTTCGGATTCAAAGAGTGACCATCCAGACCACACGAAGCCGCTCACGTAATCTCAACGAAGTTGGTGCGTCACGTTGTGACCAGAAACATCGCCGGCTTTCGCTCACCCACTGGCACATGAGGGTGCATCGAATGTACCAGTGCTTCATTCTCAAGGTGGCCTGAGTGGCGTGGACGCCTTTCAAGAAGTTTTACGGCGACTGGCAGGAAGCAGGAAGGATGGCGCAATCCCCTTGGGACGTTGAATGAATAATGAGAAAGATCGAAGATAAAAAGCAGATCCAACTCTGCCTACGCAGCTAAGATGTCCACCTCCGATCATTGGTGCATCCAATCGCACTGCTCGTCGAAATGTTTGATTTGTCCGATCATCTCAGGCGTAGTTACCTTGAAAAGGTTGTCGCCAACTTGCAATTCGGATTGAGCGATCTCGACTACCCGCACGGTTCGAACAAGGTAGCTCTATTTATCGTGCGACATATCTTCGGTACTACCATATGGATGGATGTCAAGTGTAGTAACACTGCAAAAAGGTCCTGGACACCACCGCCAAGATGAATAGCACAGACACCGAAATGGAGAAAGACGTGACGATCAGTTTGATCTGCGAGATTCGAAGATGTCAGATCACTTTATTCTGAACCTGGATGAGTACCACGAGACTGTGGACGCATTACATTGACAGGTGTTGATGAATGACCTTATGGAGCAACAGAGGAAGAAGGCAGAAATGGTGGATGCTGGTAAATAGATGCTTCAGTAATAAACGCAAATCTCGATACTTTGTGTACAGCGGTAAATTGGAGTACACATCGTGGGGAGCTAGCTGTACCAGCATAAGCTTAAGTACGTCTCTTGAGGAGATCCACGCAGCTTGTGCAGCTTGAGGGCATTGATCAATGTTCACTGAAAGATTATGATGAAAACAGCGAATACAATGAGAAACGCTTTGTCTTGTGGACATTGTTGGGTGTCAAAGGGTAAGAGACTTTGTCGAGGAAGCTTGGAGAGCACGAAGGAAGTCTGCACAGGAAGTGGAAACGACATGAATAGGAGAAGGTAGATTCGAAGGTGTTGATTCATCGGAGTTTATTCTGCTTGCACCCTGATGTATAAGCTGTCCACAAATCGAATCATGTAGGTCTTTCAATCGAGCTGCTTGTCTGATGAAGTCTGATGTCATTATCGTAAAATCGATGCCGTAAATACTACGCTTGAAGTTCGGATTCAAGGAGTGAACATCCAGACCACACGAAGCCGCTCACGTAATCTCAACAAAGTTGGTGTGTCAAGTTGTGACCAGAAACATCGCCGGCTTTCGCTCACCCACTGGCACATGAGGGTGCATCGAATGTACCAGTGCTTCATTCTCAAGGTAGCCTGGGTGGCGTGGACGCCTTTCAAGAAGTTTTACGGCGACTGGCAGGAAGCAGGAAGGATGGCGCAATCCCCTTGGGACGTTGAATGAATAATGAGAAAGATCGAAGATAAAAAGCAGATCCAACTCTGCCTACGCAGCTAAGATGTCCACCTCCGATCATTGGTGCATCCAATCGCACTGCTCGTCGAAATGTTTGATTTGTCCGATCATCTCAGGCGTAGTTACCTTGAAAAGGTTGTCGTCAACTTGCAATTCGGATTGAGCGATCTCGACTACCCGCACGGTTCGAACAAGGTAGCTCTATTTATCGTGCGACATATCTTCGGTACTACCATATGGATGGATGTCAAGTGTAGTAACACTGCAAAAAGGTCCTGGACACCACCGCCAAGATGAATAGCACAGACACCGAAATGGAGAAAGACGTGACGATCAGTTTGATCTGCGAGATTCGAAGATGTCAGATCACTTTATTCTGAACCTGGATGAGTATCACGAGACTGTAGACGCATTAAATTGAAAGGTGTTGATGAATGACCTTATGGAGCAACAGAGGAAGAAGGCAGCAATGGTGGATGCTGGTAAATAGATGCTTCAGTAATAAACGCGAATCTCGATACTCTGTGTACAGCGGTAAATTGGAGTACACATCGTGGGGGGCTAGCTGTACCAGCATAAGCTTAAGTACGACTATTGAGGAGATCCACGCAGCTTGTGCAGCTTGAGGGCATTGATCAATGTTCACTGAAAGATTATGATAAAAACAGCGAATACAATGAGAAACGCTTTGTCTTGTGGACATTGATGGGTGTCAAAGGGTAAGAGGCTTTGTCGAGGAAGCTTGGAGAGCACGAAGGAAGTCTGCACAGGAAGTGGAAACGACTTGAATAGGAGAAGGTAGATTCAGAAGTGTTGATTCATAGGAGTTTATTCTGCTTGCACCCTGATGTATAAGCTGTCCACAAATCGAATCATGTAGGTCTTTCATTCGAGCTGCTCGTCTGATGAATTCTGATGTCATTATCGTAAAATCGATGCTGTAAATACTACGCTTGAAGTTCGGATTCAAAGAGTGACCATCCAGACCACAAGAAGACGCTCACGTAATCTCAACGAAGTTGGTGTGTCACGTTGTGACCAGAAACATCGCCGGCTTTCACCCACCCACTGGCACATGAGGGTGCATCGAATGTACCAGTGCTTCATTCTCAAGGTAGCCTGAGTGGCGTGGACGCCTTTCAAGAAGTTTTACGGCGACTGGCAGGAAGCAGAAAGGATGGCGCAATCCCCTTGGGACGTTGAATGAATAATGAGAAAGATCGAAGATAAAAAGCAGATCCAACTCTGCCTACGCAGCTAAGATGTCCACCTCCGATCATTGGTGCATCCAATCGCACTGCTCGTCGAAACGTTCGATTTGTCCGATCATCTCAGGCGTAGTTACCTTGAAAAGGTTGCCGTCAACTTGCAGTTCGGATTGAGCGAGCTCGACTACCCGCACGGTTCAAACCAGGTAGCTCTATATATCATGCGACATATCTTCATTAATACCAAATGGACGGATGTCAAGTGTAGTAACACTGCAAAAAGGTCCTGGACACCACCGCCAAGATGAATAGCACAGAAACCGAAATGGAGAAAGACGTGACGATCGGTTTTATCTGCGAGATTCGAAGATGTCAGATCACTTTATTCTGAACCTGGATGAGTATCACGAGACTGTAGACGCATTAAATTGAAAGGTGTTGATGAATGACCTTATGGAGCAACAGAGGAAGAAGGCAGCAATGGTGGATGCTGGTAAATAGATACTTCAGTAATAAACGCGAATCTCGATACTCTGTGTACAGCGGTAAATTGGAGTACACATCGTGGGGAGATAGCTGTACCAGCATAAGCTTAAGTACGAGATCCACGCAGCTTGTGCAGCTTGAGGGCATTGATCAATGTTCACTGAAAGATTATGATAAAAACAGCGAATACAATGAGAAACGCTTTGTCTTGTGGACATTGATGGGTGTCAAAGGGTAAGAGGCTTTGTCGAGGAAGCTTGGAGAGCACGAAGGAAGTCTGCACAGGAAGTGGAAACGACTTGAATAGGAGAAGGTAGATTCAGAAGTGTTGATTCATAGGAGTTTATTCTGCTTGCACCCTGATGTATAAGCTGTCCACAAATCGAATCATGTAGGTCTTTCATTCGAGCTGCTCGTCTGATGAAGTCTGATGTCATTATCGTAAAAAAGATGCCGTAGATACTACGCTTGAAGTTCGGATTCAAAGAGTGACCATCCAGACCACAAGAAACCGCTCACGTAATCTCAACGAAGTTGGTGTGGCACGTTTTGACCAGAAACATCGCCGGCTTTCGCTCACCCACTGGCACATGAGGGCGCATCGAATGTACCAGTGCTTCATTCCCAAGGTAGCCTGAGTGGCGTGGACGCCTTTCAAGAAGTTTTACGGCGACTGGCAGGAAGCAGAAAGGATGGCGCAATCCCCTTGGGACGTTGAATGAATAATGAGAAAGATCGAAAATAAAAAGCAGATCCAACTCCGCCTACGCATCTAAGATGTCCACCTCCGATCATTGGTGCATCCAATCTCACTGCTCGTCGAAATGTTCGATTTGTCCGATCATCTCAGGCGTAGTTACCTTGAAAAGGTTGCCGTCAACTTGCAGCTCGGATTGAGCGATCTCGACTACCCGCACGGTTCGAACAAGGTAGCTCTATATACCGTGCGACATATCTTCGGTACTACCATATGGATGGATGTCAAGTGTAGTAACACTGCAGAAAGGTCCTGGATACCACCGCCAAGATGAATAGCACAGAAACCGAAATGGAGAAAGACGTGACGATCAGTTTGATCTGCGAGATTCGAAGATGTCAGATCACTTTATTCTGAACCTGGATGAGTATCACGAGACTGTAGACGCATTAAATTGAAAGGTGTTGATGAATGACCTTATGGAGCAACAGAGGAAGAAGGCAGCAATGGTGGATGCTGGTAAATAGATACTTCAGTAATAAACGCGAATCTCGATACTCTGTGTACAGCGGTAAATTGGAGTACACATCGTGGGGAGATAGCTGTACCAGCATAAGCTTAAGTACGACTATTGAGGAGATCCACGCAGCTTGTGCAGCTTGAGGGCATTGATCAATGTTCACTGAAAGATCATGATGAAGACAGCGAATACAATGAGAAACGCTTTGTCTTGTGGACATTGATGGATGTCAAAGGGTAAGAGGCTTTGTCGAGGAAGCTTGGAGAGCACGAAGGAAGTCTGCACAGGAAGTGGAAACGACATGAATAGGAGAAGGTAGATTCAGAAGTGTTGATTCATAGGAGTTTATTCTGCTCGCACCCTGATGTATAGGCTGTCCACAAATCGAATCATGTAGGTCTTTCATTCGAGCTGCTCGTCTGATGAATTCTGATGTCATTATCGTAAAATCGATGCTGTAAATACTACGCTTGAAGTTCGGATTCAAAGAGTGACCATCCAGACCACAAGAAGACGCTCACGTAATCTCAACGAAGTTGGTGTGTCACGTTGTGACCAGAAACATCGCCGGCTTTCGCTCACCCACTGGCACATGAGGGTACATTGAATGTACCAGTGCTTCATTCTCAAGGTAGCCTGAGTGGCGTGGACGCCTTTCAAGAAGTTTTACGGCGACTGGCAGGAAGCAGAAAGGATGGCGCAATCCCCTTGGGACGTTGAATGAATAATGAGAAATATCGAAGATAAAAAGCAGATCCAACTCTGCCTACGCAGCTAAGATGTCCACCTCCGATCCTTGGTGCATCCAATCGCACTGCTCGTCGAAACGTTCGATTTGTCCGATCATCTCAGGCGTAGTTACCTTGAAAAGGTTGTCGTCAACTTGCAGTTCGGATTGAGCGATCTCGACTACCCGCACGGTTCGAACAAGGTAGCTCTATATATCGTGCGACAGATCTTCGGTACTACCAAATGGATGGATGTCAAGTGTAGTAACACTGCAAAAAGGTCCTGGACACCACCGCCAAGATGAATAGCACAGACACCGAAATGGAGAAAGACGTGACGATCAGTTTGATCTGCGAGATTCGAAGATGTCAGATCACTTTATTCTGAACCTGGATGAGTATCACGAGACTGTAGACGCATTAAATTGAAAGGTGTTGATGAATGACCTTATGGAGCAACAGAGGAAGAAGGCAGCAATGGTGGATGCTGGTAAATAGATACTTCAGTAATAAACGCGAATCTCGATACTCTGTGTACAGCGGTAAATTGGAGTACACATCGTGGGGAGATAGCTGTACCAGCATAAGCTTAAGTACGACTATTGAGGAGATCCACGCAGCTTGTGCAGCTTGAGGGCATTGATCAATGTTCACTGAAAGATCATGATGAAGACAGCGAATACAATGAGAAACGCTTTGTCTTGTGGACATTGATGGATGTCAAAGGGTAAGAGGCTTTGTCGAGGAAGCTTGGAGAGCACGAAGGAAGTCTGCACAGGAAGTGGAAACGACATGAATAGGAGAAGGTAGATTCAGAAGTGTTGATTCATCGGAGTTTATTCTGCTTGCACCCTGATGTATAAGCTGTCCACAAATCGAATCATGTAGGTCTTTCAATCGAGCTGCTCGTCTGATGAAGTCTGATGTCATTATCGTAAAAACGATGCCGTAAATACTATGCTTGAAGTTCGGATTCAAAGAGTGACCATCCAGACCACAAGAAGACGCTCACGTAATCTCAACGAAGTTGGTGTGGCACGTTGTGACCAGAAACATTGCCGGCTTTCGCCCACCCACTGGCACATGAGGGTGCATCGAATGTACCAGTGCTTCATTCTCAAGGTAGCCTGAGTGGCGTGGACGCCTTTCAAGAAGTTTTACGGCGACTGGCAGGAAGCAGAAAGGATGGCGCAATCCCCTTGGGACGTTGAATGAATAATGAGAAAGATCGAAGATAAAAAGCAGATCCAACTCTGCCTACGCAGCTAAGATGTCCACCTCCGATCATTGGTGCATCCAATCGCACTGCTCGTCGAAATGTTCGATTTGTCCGATCATCTCAGGCGTAG